CTGAGGCCAATAGGAAAAGGGGACCAGGAACTAGAGAAAAGGTTAGATCAAAAAGAATTAACCTAGAAGGTAACACACACGTACAAGAAACTAATGTGAGTCAACTCCCTGTATAGCTACCCTCATCTCAACCAGCAAAAACCCTTGTTCCTTCCTATTATTGCTTATACTCTCTCTACAACAAAATTAGAAATAAGGGCAAAATAGTTTCTGCTGGGTATTGAAGGGGTGGGGGGAGAGGGAGGGGGCAGAGTGGGTGGTAAGGGAGGGGGTGGGGGCAGGGGGGAGAAATGACCCAAGCTTTGTATGCACATATGAATAATAAAATTAAAAAAATAAAAAAAAGATATTCAGTATTATTGCTTATTAGAGAAGTGGAAATTAAAGCCACAACAAGCCGCCACTACACACACGACAATGACTAGAATTTAAATGACTGACAATACAAAGTACTGGCAAAGGTGTTGAACAGTTGGACTCTGATGCCTTGTTAGTAGGAGTGTAGATTGATGTGATTGTTTTGAGAAAATGGTTGGGAACACTAAAATTAAACACGCATGGACTGTGTGTTTAAGCCATTCCACTCTTGAATATATATTTATTCAATAGAAATGAGTGATTACATCCACCAAAAGATACATATAATAGCAACTGTATTCATAAGAGCACCATGCTGGAAATTAGCCAAGGTTTATTAATATTAGAATGCATAAATTATGACACAGTCATACAATGGAATGTTACCAAATAGTGAAAAAAGAGTGAACTATTGATTCCTGCAATAACAGTAGCACATTTTATAGAAATAATGTTGAATAAAAGAGGTCAAATTAAAAGAGTATTATATAACTCTATTCACCTGCAGTTTAAGGATATATGAAATTGGGCTGGAGGCTTGATTCAAGTGGTAGAGTGTTTGCCTAGCAAGCATGATACTCTGAGTTCAAACACAAGTACCGGGGGGAAAAAGAATATGAAATTACGAATTCAACTATGATACATTTGATATATTGTGTAATATATTAGATATTTATATATTATATATATGTATATATTGTGTAATCGTACATTGTATAAATGCCATAATGTACCCCCAGCACAACTTAAAAAATAAAAAGTTACAAGCCATGAAAAAAAAGAATGTGAAATTTATCTGCTCTAATAAGTCAGAATTGTGCTTGCTTTTGGGGAAAATGCTGGGGAAAGTCATGAGGAAGCCTTCTGGGATTGGGTCAGAGAGGGGAAAGAATGTTCTATCAAAAGATGGAAGGTGACTACATGGGTATAACTTCATTGAAATTTGCATATGATATTTTGCATTTTTTTATATTTAAGTTACATGTCAATTTAAAAAATGAAAGAAGAATCCTCTGTGACCTTCTTTTTTTGTCAGCATTATGATATCCTTGGTCAGAAGATGTGGTTGGGGACATGTGACAATGTGGCATCCAGTGACAGTGTGCTAATGGAAACATTGTGTGCAGGGAACACAAGTTTCAGGAGATTTGGGTTTTGTTTTTGCTTTTGCTTTTTAGGTAGGGCCTGGCTATGTAGTCCAGGCTGCCCTGGAATTCCCTATGAAGCACACATTGTCCTCAAACTTGAGATCCTCCTGTCTCAGCCTCCTGAGTGCTGGGATTATTGGAATGCAAGGATGAATTACTACTACCTCCAGGTTTGAAAAGATTCAATGTAATCAACTCGACCCCTTGTAATGGGGTCAACCCTGATCTCTGACATTAGCAGGTTAGGCAATCAGCAATAGAAGTATCTGTTTGGATCAGTCTTGATGAGAGGATGGCCCTATTATTGAGCCATGTATGACCTACATTCCTACCTCATGTATGCTTCATCTATGAGCCCATTGAGCAAGCACCAGACTAGCTAGAGAAACAGGTTTACTGCCATCCATAGAATGGGTCACCTTGTCAATCCAATACTTGAAAACACTCTGCTGTCACCATCTGTGCCCTTCCCAAAAGACTCATCCACATTCATCTTTGCCAGACTTCCCTGTCATCAATTCACCAATCATAGTCTTTCCACATCCCAAATTAGATAGAAAAACTATTAGCTACTGTCTATTGTTCAAGGTAAACCAAAATTCTGGTCATCTATTTGCTCACAGAGTAAACAAACAGATGCATTGTTCAATGTTCTGCTCCACTCTGAGAGGAGCTATAATGCTGCAGATTCCCACTTTCTGAGGGTGCTGATGTATTATGCAGAACCATCTGCGAACCAGATGAGACAAAGTCTTCTCTTCCTCAACCATCTGGGCACAGGAAACGCTCCACATGACCCCTCCAAGGTCTTGCTATATAGCCCAGGCTGGTCTGGAATTCACTATGTAGCACAGGTTGGCCTTAAATCCAAGATCCTCCTGCATCAGCCTCCTAAGTGCTGGAATTACAGACAAGTAATTCTCCCATAGTGGTAGAGGTTGGAAATGTAGCTAGATGCTGTTAGAGTTTGGGTGGATTACTCAGACCTCTTGCTTATGCTTTGAGAACCTAATGGAGCCCAAATTCATGTAAGTCACTTCTAGTCAAAGAGGCAGGTACTGCTAAGTATGCCCCCAAATCTTATAGTTTAGTGGTACAGACAACACCCAGTTCATAAAGGGCAGCTCAAGTTTCATGAACTCTTGACTATGGAGGATGCAATGTCTAGTTGGATACTTATTAAAAGGAGGACATATGGAAGAAGGCATGCCTTTGCTCCCAAGCTCTAGGAGTCTGTGTTCTATCAATGCTACAGAGTCTCCATACAGCATCCTGATCTGCCACAGACATTTTGAGCCAGATTGGATTTATTAAAAAAATAAGTCTCAAATGACCTGATGACTTTGGTTTCTATTTAGAAGTGAAGAAGAGCTATAGATGGGATCAGAGATGAACATTTACTTTCTGAACTCCGTAAGCCTCACTCTAACTTGTAGGTTCACAGTAGTGCTTTAGATCTTCAGCTATTAGCATCAGCCTAGCCAGGGTCTGGTAATATTTTAAAGATTTAGACATTTCCCTTTCCCCATTGCACTGTCATCATGATAAATGGCTGAGGTCTCCTTTGAAAACCTGGAGGAGCACATACATGTTGTAATGTTGTTGGACCTTTCTGCCTTCCCTTCATTTCTAAGTCCGTGAATATGTTCAGGTCTGGGAGTTAGGTTGAGTCTGAGACTCTCCATTGTGGTAACTCAAGTCAGTTCTTTGGTCAATCACCTAGTTATTATCACTTATACAGATCAGGTGAGATTTTAGTAGGCTAATTATATATATATAATATAATATATATATTATATATATTATTATATATATTATTATTATATATTATATATATATATTATATTATATATATATAATCATTCCTAATTATATATATATAATATATAAAAAATATATTTTTTTCCCTAAATCTTTTGACTTTTTCTTCTAATTATATCCAAGCAATACTGGGATCTCAACTTCATTTAATATAGGCCCCCTGTGAGTCTGTATTTCGATCAAGAAAACTGTTAGGGTAACCCCTACCTACTTGAGCTAATATATTGAATCTACAATGTATGAGTTCACCCATGTATTCATTTTCTATTGTTGCATGACAATGTAATACAAACAACAGCTTAAAATAACACCCATTTATTAGCTCACAATTCTGTGAGTCAGAAGTCTGGGCATGGCCTGACTGGGTCCTTTGCTTAGGGCCTCACAGGCCAACATCAAGGTGCTGAATGATCTATATCTTCACCTGGAACTTGGCAACCTCTTCCAAGCTCATATGACTGTAGTGAAACTGAGTTCTTGTGGTTGTAGAATTGAAATTCCTGTTTTGTTTTTTTCTGGATGTCAATTCCTAGCTCTGACTCATATTTATGGAGCTGGAGGCCCCAAAGAGTATTGAAATAGGGCTGAAATAATGTCATAATAATTGTCCCTCAAGAATACCCACATTCTAATTTTCTACATCCCAATTCTAAATATGTTACCTCATATGGCAAAAAAGATTTTGCAAGTGCGATTTCTTTACAGATTTTACACTGGGGAGATGATTCTGGATTATCTGGGGAGTCCGATGTCATCTCAAAAGTTCTTATAGTGGGAGGCAGCAGCTTCAGAGTCAGAGTGAGATTTGAAGATGCTATGATGCTGGCATTGAAAAGGGAGGAATGAGCCACAAACCAAGGAATGGCAGAAGCCTCTAGAAGCTTAAAAAAAGCAAAGAAAAAGATTCTCCCCTAGAGCCTCCAGAACAACACAGTCTACTGGCCCCTTGATTTCACTCCAATTAGACCTATTTTGGATTTCTGACCTGCAGAACTATAAGAGAATATTCATGTGCTCTTTCAAGCCATCATTTGTGGTAATTTGTACTGCAGTAATAGTTAACTAATACAGGACTGAGGAAGATCTGTATCACTTTGACAAGGAAGTGCTGAGGGTAGTTACTACAGGGTCTTCAGGCTAAAGGAAAATTACTTCCTCACGTAAAGTGACTGTTTCTACTGGGAAGAAAAGTTCAGTGGAATTTGGAGGATAAAGTTTCTTCAATTTACCCAAACCTCTCCACCCCAGTTCTGGGCTTTCATTTAACAAATACCCTAAATGTTACATAAGAGACAGACAAGAATATCTATCCTAATTGAATAAAATCCTGCAGTCTGTGAAATCAAACATTGGGTCCACTTTTTTCACACATGGTCCAGGTAACATTCAGATAAAAGTATGCTTTTTGGAATGGCCAGAGAAAGCTCTTTCATTCCCTGGCACCATCTTCACTGAGAATGGGACACCCATGGTTGTTTTCTTTCTGTATTCTCTCCAATGAAGTCACTCACAGCAGGAGTGCAAGAGACAGAGAAGTACAGAGACTATGTCATATCATCACTCCTGTCTCGGGATCTCATATCAACCACCTGCTTTCCCAGTCCTATCCCTCCATACCACTTTATTCTAGGCACATCCACAGGTGATCATAAGTCATACTTGCTACCTTTTGATATGGGATGCAAACGCCCCATTTTGTACCAGTGTGAAGTCACCCCTGCCCTCAGCCTGAATTGGTCAGGTAATCAATCAAGATTCCCATGTTAGAAGGTCTCATACCAAATATTTTAACAACTAGTTTTCCTTATGAAAAAGGAAACCACTTTGGCTATCTCAAGCACAAAAGGATTTAATCCAAGAAAGAGGTGCTTATAATACTACTTGGAATACTGGAGGTGTGAAAGTCAGTGTGACAGCTAATAGCTTTCATGTTCATTGCCACCGAGAGCTGCCACTCAGAGGCAGGGACCTGCAGGCAAGTGCTGCTGGTGCGATCACTCCTCCATAGCCACTCAGTGTGCAACAGACAGAGAAATGCAGAGACCATGGCAAAATCCTCACCCAGAAGCCCAGGAATGCCTCCAGCTATTGCTGTTACAGAGCTGAGTATCATGGCAGTTCATCTCATCAGAGGAACATAAAACATGCCTGGAACTTACTGGCAAAAAAGCCTGGCTAATGTGGCTCCGTGCAGAGCATGGAAGGATGTTAAAAGTTAGAAAGTACCAGTACCAGTTCCTGTCACAAATCCAGCGTGGGGAGGGCTGGACTAGAACTGGAGACAGAGTAAAACTAGAAAGAGAACACAGACTTCCTGTTGTGTTGAGACATCTGAAGCTGATCTGAAACAGGACATGCTGGGTCCCCGGAAATCTCAAGGAAGCGTGGGTACACCCGCGGAAACGCACATGCTCTGACTACGGGTTCGCAGGGGAGCAGTTTGAAGAAAAGCAGTTGGGGAATCTTAGTTCCTGCGATAGTCGGTGGGGCACTGGTGGCTTTGTACGCGGTGGCCACGCCGTCCATCACACCGGCCCTGCGGAAATATTGCCTGCCTTTTGTACCCGCAACTTCCAAACAGATTGAAAATGTCGTGAAAATGTCGCAACGCGGACGAGGATCCCTCGTAGACATTGGTAGCGGCGGTGGACGCATTGTGATTGCAGCTGCGAAGGAAGGAGTCACAGCTCTTGGTTATGAATTAAATCCATGGCTAGTTTGGTACTCCAGGTACCATGTCTGGCGAGAAGGGGTGCATGGCTTTTCCACGTTTTGTATTTCAGATTTGTGGAAGGTCACCTTATCGCAGTATTCAAATGTTGTTATTTTTGTGCCCCAGATGATGCCACAGTTGGAGAAGAAACTTGAACTTGAGAATGACGCAAGAGTCATTGCTTGCCGATTACCTTTTCCCCACTGGACACCGGATCATGTCACTGGAGAGGGGATAGACACTGTGTGGGCTTATGATGGGAGCACTTTTAGAGGAAAGGAAAAGAGGCCCTGAAAATCCTGCATCTCCAGGAAGTCATTCAGATAGAAACACTGAGAGTGCTTTTTTGAAATGTTGATCTCATTTGATTTTGTAGAGACTGAAAGCTGTGTCTTTGGCAATAGAGCATAGTTTTATTTGGTGTGGAATGAGAAATCACTTACTTTCCTTAGCTTTTAGAGAAAACAAACAGAAGCTAAGAAAAACAGATTTAAAATTCGCTTTTATTGGAATATTCTAAATGTGCTTACTACCTTTTCATGCACTGGGATGCATGAAAGTAAGATTTATTCATCTGAAGATCATGTTTATGATCAGAAAGATGTCAACAGCACTTGACATTATAAGCAGTATGGTTTAATACCACAGATGAGGAGAAATTATTTTTATTTATTTACTTTTTTTCAGAAAAAGTAATGATAAAATTTATTAAGAAAGGAATACACTTTCAACAGACTGAAAGTGGGTTGTCTGTAGAGTTGAGAGCAATGGGGTTAGGGGGAAGAGAAAGAGAGAGACATTTCCTGTTCCCCAGGCAGGAAATGGGAGCAAGCAGTCTGAGAAATGATTTTTAAATGGAGTATGTATTAGCAGATATTTGTCATTTCCTACAACCTTATTCATACTTCAGACTTATCTCTTTCTTTTCTGTACTTTATGACAAAATTAATTTTCTAAAGGATTTAGAGAACCATTTATATTTTCTAACATTTATAAGAAATAATTTGCTCCAAGGCTAGTGTATTACTATATTTAATTCAAGATACATACATATATATGAGTATGCATATGTAAAAATGGGTGTGGGTAAATGTGAACACATTTTATCATTTCTGAAATTGTGACTTGCCTTCCTATTAAAGGTGAGTTAAAGCTTTAATTGGCTGTAAAGCTGTGCTTTACAGTTTATAATTTGATAATTAGATTTGATGAAATAGGTATTCAGAAAAAATCCCTGGCACAGTGGAGTAATTGGCAAGCTTTTTTTTTTTCCTACTTGGGCAGTACTGGGGGTTTGAACACAGGGCTTCGTGCTTACTAAGCAGGCACTCTACCACTTGAGCCATGCCTCCAAGCCCTTTTTGCTTGGATTATTTTGGAGGTCTCACTTTTTGCTCAGGGTGGCCTGGACCACAATTCTTCTATTATAAGCTTCCTGCCACCACTGGATGACTGGTGCGTGCTACCACACCTGGCTGTCAGTTGAGATGTGGTCTTGCAAACTTCTTGCCTAGGCTGGCCTGGAACTGTGATCCTACCCATAGTAGTCTCCCAAGTAATTACAATCACAGGTGTGAGCCACCAGCACCTGGCTGGTAAGGGCTTAATAGTAAAATAAATGATTGTGAGCTTTGGTGGTAGCCCCACCTGGGTTCAGATCTTTGCTCTGTCCTTAGCAGGAGTCTTTGGACATTGACTTACTGTCTCTGAGTCTTAGTTTCCTGAGTATCTGTGCTGCTGGACTAGTGATAGACTGAACATGGGACTGGGGACCAATTAGTAAAACTTACAGCATGTCATTGTTGGTCTGTAAATGGTTTTTATTATTTTAGACACTAAGGAAAAGCTTATTCACGGAAATTGCAGATTACTCTGCTAGTTGTTTCTTTATTTTATGAGAGAAGCCATTTATTTAATATTTCTCATTTATGAGAAGAGACTTGAGTGATTTAAATAAAAGACAAGTTAAGGAAAAAAATAGGACATGCTAAAATTAAAGGACAGAGGGAATCTGGAATTAGGCAATCCCTTAAAAAAACCACTTTCTTTTTCTTTTTTCTGTAATCTTTTTGCCTCTGTAACTTTTTTATTTATATGCAAGTTTGAATCTTAAACTTTCTAATTCATTAATCTCTTATTATACAAACATGCTGAAAGTCTAAGACCTGAGCCCCTGCCACCTTTCCTGCCATAATTGCCACAGTTTTTGTCTGAGTAGAGCAGAAGGACCTAAGTCGGCTGGTTTGTGACAAAAGTCAAATCACAGAGAGCACTGGAATGACCTGGGAGAGAGAGAAGGGAAAGATACTACCTTGAGTAGTTATTGGCACATGCCTGCCCCATCAGGGACTCAGCACCTTCTTGATTCTAAGGGCCTGAGCTATGGGAGAGCTCTGGGTATGTATTTATTTGAGATCATTTCCAGACCCAGTGAGGTTGTGGGCTTCCTCCAAAACCACTGTACTTGACCTAGCTTTGTTTGTCAGACACTGAAACAGTTTTCTTGGTTCTGTCCTTGACCTTGGCCATGACCTATGGTCATTCCCTAGGAACATTTTGGCCTTCCATCTTGACTCATTTTCCACTCATGACTCTTTGTCTTCTTCTTCTTCTCCATGACTCTCTCCTCTGTCGTTTCCCTGTCCTAAAATGTCTCCCATTATGTAGTGGTTATGGCCTTGGAACTTCAATGATCTCTCCTGGGACCTTCCCTGTAGTCTTCACTGACAAAGTCTCTTTTGTGTCACCCATGTCCATGGCTTCCATGGTGTTCTCTTCATTTCACAGGAGACAGTCTTTGACACCGATACAATAGAAATAAGACCAAGCCAAGTGTGCGGGAATATAGGCAAGGCTTTAATGGGGCTTTGGCTCAGGAGCAGAAGGGAGCCAGTACTGACAAAACTGGACACCAAGATGCCTTCTGAACAAATGCAGAGGTAGGCCTTTATTGATTCACTGAGGTGGACTAATGGGCGGTCATCATCCTGCCTGAAGGACTTCAGATGCTTAAGCTGCTGAAAGAGCACGAGAAAGGAATAGGAGGAGGATTCCAAGATGGCGACTAGAGGGAGGAAGCAGAAAGTGTGCTTCCTAAAGTAAAATCTTGGAGAGACACTGGAGATACACCTTACAGGAAAAACCACTGAGAAGAGGCAAAATGTTGACTCCTCCACACCCCCAGCCCGTGCGTAGCATTCCCATTCCACGTTAAATGGAAAAACCAGGAGGGATACCATGCTGCCAGATGCCAGTGCCCAGACCACTTGGGAAGACACAGTCCACGAGGTGAGCTAAGCAGCACATGGTACTCCCACAGACAATCCTGGGCCAGATCAGCATAGCCTCTGGACAGGCTGACCCCCACCCAGGGAAAAAAGAGAAACTGAATAATAAACAACAACAAAAAAGACACATAGCAAAGGCTCACATAGCCCTGAGTGCCAAAGAGAGGGAGAGGGACAATCCCCCACAGAATGGTAAATAAACAAGTGGGCCAGAGAAAACAGGAGCGGCAGCACCTGCCCAGCAACCAGGAATGGGAAAGCTCGTAAAAGTGGCAGTAGGAGGAAAACTCCACAGGAGAGGGTGGAAGGCCCACTTCCCATTTGAACTGTAAATAAACAGGCTGGCTGGAGAAAGTGGGTGTAGTGCCACCTCCCCCAGTGTGCTTGGAAAGGGGAAAGCGTCTAAGAGTGGAGGTTGCACCCAGGAGAACTCTAAGTAAACAAAGCCTGTGGGGCTAGGTGAGTGTTAAGCTCACTCCTGAGATCTGCATAAATAAAGCCTCCAGCAACAGCAGGCTGATAGCAGCAGGCAGGTGAGCCACAGCCTCAGATAGTCATTCACAAAGCTGTCTCCAGACTCTTTTTTTTTTTCTCTCTCTCCCTTTGATGAGACAACAACCGAACTACACCTGCATGCTGAAAAACTAACTGAAACTGTATTGCATTTGAACTTGGGACACTTTGTGGTGTTTTGTTTTTTGTTTTTTTCCCCTTTGATAAGACAATGACAGAACTACTTCTGACACCATCTCCAGGATTGGAGACTGAGGGACTAACACCAAAATTATTAAGACTGAAACTTTATTGCATTTGAACTTGGAGATTTATTTTATTTTATTTTACTTTATTTTATTTTATTTTTCAATCCTCTCTCTGTCTCTCTAATGCCTGTTTAGCTTACTGTTGATTAGTATACTATCTCTCCCTGTTTATATCTTTGAAACTTTTTGTTTGTTTTAGTTTTTTTACTTGTTTATTTGTTCTTCCCTTTTTCTTTACCTTCTTTGCTTTCCCTCTCCTCTCACCATTCCATTCTAAATATCACCATTGTTATTATTACAAGCTAGAAAATACTTAATTGCACACAGTACAGGGACAGTAACAGTACCAAGGGCAATGATGGGAAGAAGAAAAAACAGGAAAACCAGTTTCCCCACAGCAAAAAATTAGTACAGGAAACAGAGGGAAATGAAGAAAACAGATACTTAGATCCAGACTCCAACAAAATGAAGATAAATTATGCCAAAGAACCCAATGGAGCCCACAAGAATAATTTAAAGGAAGACATACTACAGGTACTTAATGAGAATTTTATAGAGATGATACTGGATATGGTCAACCAAAATGTACAGGAGACACTCAAGAAATTCCAAGACAACAAAAATAGAGAATTTGAAAAAGCAAAAGAAGAAATAAAAGAAACCATAGAAGCACTATATAAACACCACAGTGAAACAAAGAACACAATTAATAAAGAGATATTTTAAAGATGACGGGTAGAGGTAGGAAGCAGAAAGCGAGCCTCCTATAGTGAAATTTTGGAGAGACACTGGAGACACACTTTGCAGGCATAATCACTGAGAAAAGGCATAACTTTGACCCCTCCACACCTCCAGCTGGCACAGAGAATCTCCACTTCACGTTAAATGGAGAAACAAGGAGGGCCCCCAGGCCACCAGTGGCCAGCGCCCACTGGGAAGACGTGGACCAGGTGAGCTTCGCGGTACCGCGGTTCTCCCACAGACAAGCCTGGGCCAGAGCAGCATAGCCCCCTGGACAGACTGACCTTCACCTAGAGAAAAAAAGAGAAACTGAGTAATAAGCAATAAGAACAATTAAGACACGCTGGAAAGAGGGTGGGGCGCCCTGAGCGCTGAAGATTGGGGGAAGGGAACCCTTCCCGGGACTGTAAATAAACAAGCTGGGTGGGCCGGAGAGCCTCTGGCGGGAGCGGGGCGCACGCCCAGCAACCAGGAGCGGGGATACTTGTGAGAGTGGCAGAGGGAG